AGTTAACCAAAAGTGAAAAGATCAGTAACTCAGTTGGTTTCTGAAAATTGCTCAGAAATTTGACCAATCGTCTGGCCCGGTGAAGTGGAGACACACGCATGCCGGGAATTTCTGTTGAAATTACTCTGAAGTTCCCACAGTGAAAACATGCCTATCATGGATAAAAGAACGTGATAAATCAACAAGAGTTTTGAACGCTCACCAAACATTTCTATCGGAAAGTATGGAGGTCCAGAGTAGAGAGTAGGGAAATGTGGTGGCAGCTAATCCATGGTAGAATATACTGCTGATGTAATGTGCAATTTTAGTTTTTTTTTTGTTTATAAGAACATTCTGAAGTTGCCTTCTCTGTTGTGCATTTGCACCCTCACCATGGATTTGAGCACATTGTGTGATTGCATAATTCTCACCAATTAGCACATTTTAACTTGTCAGGCAAAGACAACATACACCACCACTAATTAGGGTTTAAAAAGGATGTTTATTCAAGAAGCCTTAACCCATGCACATACCTAAATTGTTTAAATAAACAAAGTTAAAAAATGAACTTAAAAGATGCTGATGAGGGGATTATTTTAACCTGTAAGCAAATTGTTTTGTCTGTCACCTTCAAGACTAAAAACTAAAGAGCTCCATTCTGTTCTATTACTAAATGAATACAATATGTGCAACATATTTTTGTATTTATATCAACGGAAGCAATTAATTAAAGGCAAATCTGAATACTTAATTTTTTTAAAGGAAATAGAACCAAATATGGTTTTAATAGTATGCCCAATGGATGCAAGATTAAGAGTTGTCCCCCAAAAATTTTGGCAAAATGTGTCAGAGACAGGTTTGCATGGTAGATTTTCAGCAGTCAGTCACACAAAGGGAAAAAATAAGCTTAAAAGGTATTCAAGCTCATTGGAACATTAAGTAACATTGAATAATGACATAAGGTGACCTCTCACAAATTTCAAGAGTTGTTGACCTTTACTGAATAATATAAGTAAACTTTATCAGAAGAGATAGTTGTGATTTTCTTTTATATTTCATATATCTCCAAGAAGCAGTATCTTTTCTTTCCTGCTTTTTCTGTTCAGGTATATTTTTATGTCATCTGGATTTATTAAAGAAGAGGAAATGCTAAAGGTTAAAGCCAACGGACTCTGTAATAAACTATTCTTGCTATATTTCACATTTTTATCGAAGAATAATCCCCACAGTCTCACTCCGATCTACTTGTATCAAGGGCAAACAGTACAGCTCCTCGCAGAGAGACCAAGCACACAACATTTTTCACAATAGAAGCACATAGAGATTCCCAGCATGTACATCCACATCTTACATGTACTTTAGAAGTTAGAAATTAAATATCTGGAATGATCCTGATAGATATGGCCTTTGCTGTTCTTAGTTCTTCATTCAGACAACACAGAAAATAAATATATAGAGAAAAAGTGAAGTACTTTAAAAAATTATTTTTTAATTGATTAAGTAAGTCTAATCAGCTTAAATGATGCAAAAATGTTTTTGATCCCGCCCCCAGCATCTGGTTGGGTGGCAAGAAGACGATGCTGCATGGGGGCGCAGTGGTTAGCACTGTTGCCTCGCAGCACGTAGGTCGCAGGTTCGAAATTCGGCTGCGGCCTTTCTGGGTGAAGTTGCTTGTTCTCCCCATGCATGCGTGGGTTTCCTCCGGGTACTCCGGTTACCCCCACAGATCACAACATGCCCTATAGGTTATAAATTGTAAGTCGCTTTGGATAAAAGTGTCTGCTAAATAAATAAATATAAACATAAACACATGATGCATACCTATGGACCACTGTTGTTGTTATCTGTCAGTTGTCAATAAATTGAGCAAAATTTCTGCTAAATAAAATCTATCAGCATTGGTTAACGAATGCAGAGCTGCAGGTTGCAGTAATAGACAAAAGGACAATATCATAAAATTTTACAGATTTCGAGTTGATAAAATACTGCAAAAGCAATGGCTAACAGCAATGACGAGAGTTTGTCTCATGACAGAATATAAAAGTAAAATATCTGCCCCTCATGTCGAGACACAGGAAAAGTATAGCCATAATGACTTAAATGCCTCTGTAACCAGGTTAGGTTAGTTTCTTTTTACATAATTACACAAAATGTGTTCTGTTACTGGAGCGAGCGGCCTTTAATGTCATTGTTTTGTGTTTACTGACCTCGTCAGGTATGTCAAATATATGAAAGTTATTTATTTATATTTGTCCCTCCTGAGATCTGCCCAGCCTCTAATGTTGTTCGCTTCCTGTCTCGGTTTACTGAGCTCGTCAGAAAAAAGAAGCACTTGTTCATCTCAGAAGTTGACCCGTGTCATGGCGATCCTTCAGCATTAACCCGCACAATGCAGAAGAAATCCGGTTAAGCCTTTGTTGCTTTAATTGTGTGGAGCCCAGGCATCTTAAAATAATTGTAGATATTGCCATACTAGCAACCGGTTCCGAGAGCTGTCGTCCCTACATCTTGTTAGCTATCTGTCACAATGTGGGGATGTTTAGAACCCAGGATGACACGAGGCAGAAGATGGTGTAAAGTAAAAATCCTTTTATTTGATGGATGAAACAAAAATAAATCCAGGCAGTGAGCCTAAAGTCCAAAAGTCCAGAGCAGTTTACCCAAAGCTTACTTAGAGCACAACAAAACCAGGAGACCAAAAAACTCACAAGGAGCACGAAGACTAAGAGACAAAGCTCAGACAGCACTAACAACCGCTGACAGAAATACAACAGACACACTGACAGCAACAATGGACCGACACGACACAGAGACAAGACAAGGCTTATAGACAGGGAGGAGCAATTAGGGAAACAGGAAGCTGGTGTGTGGAGTGAGGCTGGAGGGAAGGCAGGTGACAACAATTATCTGGATGGGGAAGAGAACCAGTGGTGGGCAGATAAAACTAAAACTATATTAAACACAAAACTAAACCTAAAGACTAAGGGAAGGACTCACACAAACACATACACATACTGACACACACAAACTTACACACATACAATGAACTGGGGAACAAGAGGCTGGAGCTACAACTTAAGACACACAAAAGAGATGCAGACAAAGGACACATGAGGGTGCTAAGAGAACACAAAAGGAGAACCTGGAGAGGGAACTGGAGGAGCTGGGGAACAAAGGGACACAGAACATGACAATATCAAACAAACCTGGAAGCTTTGTGCTAAATACTGTTAGTTTTAAGATGAAACTTTTTGATAATCAGCACAAAGATCTGTTCAATCATCTGAAATAGTAATATCTAAATCTCTAGGTTTGATTTAACTAGTTTAAATTGTAGAGCTATGTGTCTGGATAGCAGCAGATGGTCCTGTTGTCCTCCAGCTTGTTTATAGTTTATTGTTAATTGTGCTATTTGGATCCCCATTAGCTTCCACAGCAGTGGTTGCTAATCTTCCTGGGGTCCATTTTCTAAATTCAAAATACATTTAACAATACAAATGATTAAGACATTATAAATTATTTTATTAGGCTTTTAAAAGCTGTAGTGGCCAACCAATACCATCGACAAGATCCCCCTTAACTTGCAGAGCTGTCTGAAAATACCTTTCGTCTCGTTCTATCACAACTACTAGAACAAGTCAATAACAGAAAATGCTTTTAAGACAATTGCCTTTTTTTATGTTCTTCTTAAAAGAGCTCTGATTTTGGATTTCCCTAACACAACCTGGTAGTGTATTCCACTCAACAGTCCCGCTATTTAGAACGGTTTTCTTCATAAAATTACTTCTAGGTCTTGGCACTATAACCATGTTATTGCTTACCAAACGTGTTACGTGCTCATGGCAATGTCCACTAAGTAATATTTAGTCTTTCATATGATGATGAATACTATTAGTCATAACTTTTTGCATAAACATCAGAGGACTATATTTTACTTTTGCCTCCACAGTTAACCAAGATGACTTCAAATGCATCTGGTGCTCATTAGTTCGAAGAGGACAGTTCAAAACTACTTTGGCTGCTCTGTTCTGAGCTATTTGTAGTTTTCTTGGATGTTTCTGGGCCGCCCTGGACCAAACTACTGTACAGTACTGCAAATGAGATAAAATAAGAATCTGAACAACATTTTTCAATACAGTGGTAGAACAATATGCAGAGCACTTTCTTGACATAAAGATTCCTCGGCCCATCATACTGACTATATGGTCAATGTTATCTGACCAGGATAATAAGTTGTCTATTTTAACACCCAACAGTTAGAATTTGTTGACCTGCTCCACCTTGGTATTATTAATTTGCAGATTTAGTGAAGTAGCCTATAATAACATATTGCT